TCAAGGTAATGGACCACAAGCTTGGTGCCTGCCTCCACTTTGACCACCCATTCCAGGAAAGTACTGAATTTCTCAACGTATGCACATGAAATGGAACACCCCATGGGAAGATAGAGATCAACAAAATACTGTCTCTTGAAAAAACAGCACAGCAGATGGTGACATGGCTGCTTCCACATTTACCTTAGCCAGTAAAGCCCTTTTTTTGTGCTCCGAACCAACTCGACCGCCTGGTTAAATGATACACATGACACCGAGCAAAGGGCCTTGTCAATATCATCGTTCACCGATGAACCCTGCGGATATGATAACTGTGTATAAGCCAGTACTTACCGGCTTCCTTCTTGGGCACCACCCCCAACGGTGATACCCGAAGATCGCACAATGGGGGTTGCCGAAATGGTACAGCCATCCTCCCTGGCTGCACTTCCTTAAGAAGCTTGAACTGCACAATGTCAGGAAATTCCCCTACTGACTTCAAATTACGGAGATGACTAACAACCACCCGATGCCGATAAAGAATGACAAAACCGTCTGTGAAACCGTCGCTGAGCAGTGCTGCATCCTTCTGATTACCGTAGCTGCTTAGCCATGGCAACATCGCGCTGACCTTCACCAGCGACAACCCCAGCGGCAACAGATGCCCCTGGCACTCCCTGTGTGCCACCAGAGACAGTAGAATGCGTTTGAAACATTGACTGTATCCATGCGCACCCGCCCAACCGGAACATTCATGCTTGTAACGGCAAGCTGTACCCCACTTGCACTGGCTATTGTTTAAAAGCCAGCAAAACCCTTTTTTATGAAAAGCCGACGAGGTAGAAGACGTTCCCACGCCGGCCTTGGACTGAAAGGGTGAAGCCTTCTTCGCCATCATGAGTTCTATCCACAACGGCAGGTCCATTTGGTCCCACCGCATCCCTGGATTGACCGACGTTGCTTAAACTGCTCATCGTACCGCCACCACACCAAGCCCCAGTCAGTGCGATCCGCTTCCCAAACACCGTCCAAATAACAAAACAACTGCGAGCAACGGTCGGGGGCTTTTTCCCCTGTGACACTTACCAAGATGCAAAAAGCCTGCAACCAATTCCCAAATGCACTCCTGCTTGAACCCCCACTCCAAGCAAAGATTTAAGACCCTCGTAAAGATCCCCAGACTGTTTAATGTAAGACAGCTCGCCATCCGAACCTTAGGCCGTCGAAGGCCGCAAGGCTGCATCCCTGTTTCCGATGTCCAAGCCCAGCCGTAGGTCCACTTCCCGAGATCTCCCCCGAACTGAGGGCGACCGTTTAGGTGACCTGGAATGAGAAAGCACAGTGGGTAGGCCGCGTGACCGATGCCTGACCTGCCTGCTCTCACGTCTTGCCCTGCTAAACCATCACCGTCGTCCTGACCCCTAGGGCTGTGACCGCCCCTCCCTGCTCGCTCCCAGTAGCCCTGGGGGAACTCCTGCCAGATGAACACAACCGGCTCCCCATCCGCAGCCCCATGACTGGTGACACCTCAGTATGGGGGACAACTCAGTGCTGTTGGTTGCGGAGGAGCTACGGATCTGGCTGGTAGTATGCCAGCCAAATCCATAGCTCCTCCACAACCAACAGCACTCCCAGCGCCTCTCCCACCTGCTGCAGAGCCTTCTGTACCAGTGCTTCTCCCATCCGCCTTAGAAGTCCTGCAGGCACGGCCCAAACGGACAGCCAGGCGTATGCACAGTGCGAGCATCCATATGGCGAAACCAGTCGCGACCTCCCGGGCTTCCCATCGATACCCGCAGCCTCCAGCCTGGCCGCCAGTGATGGGCTCACCCCCCTCTGCACCGAGGGTCCATCTCCAGGGCTCAAACCCCACCCCCACTTTCTACAACCAAACCTGCACTCTAACCCCTCCTATCCATGTCAAGGCCTGTTCCACTTAGCTGCGCTGCTCCTTGGGCTACATTCTGAAAGTTTATGTTCCTCCAATAGATTTTGCAAACATTATTATTGTACTGTATTTGTAAAAGCATTGCAAGTTAATCTTGACAACATATTAGTGGTCTCCTAGTGCACCACAGAGCATCATAGTTACAGCATAGGAACCAGGAAGCACAGTAGTTTCTTATATACTCAACATTATTTCAGAAGAATGAACTCAAGATGCTTTTGCAAGTGCAGTAAAACAACTTTATTGGTGAATTCTAAAGGAGGAAATTAAACTTCCAGGTACAGATAGTTCTTGATTATAATTACATTATATGGGTTACTGATTTCATTCTTGGAAACATCCCCGACCCCAACACTATCCAAACTTCTTTAGATCAAAACTGGCCTCACCCACAGACAGAAAGATTAAGAGACATGGGGAAATGGGCATACAAAAAATCAAATGTCTCTAAGTTCACACAATAAGTTTATCAACTTGTCTACACTAGTTCCTACTTGACATTATTAAACAAAGGCCTATCATTTGTTTCCGCTCTCAACATGAATACCTTCAATTTGGTTAAAGTTGTCAATCTTTTTAGATGCGGGGGCGTGGCCTGGACGCTGATCAAGATGGCCGCTTAATCACAGCGCTCCGCTCCGCTCCGCCAAAGCCCTAACTAAGCTTTTATAAGCATTCCCTTTATGCAATTACCGACAAATGGGCCGCAACAGGAGGTCTGAGCACCCCCACACCACGCCGACAGCACTGGATCACATTGGAGAAGAGTTGCGTATTATAGAAACCTCCATGGTGACTAAAAGCGATCTCCTTACCCATACTACCTCCATACAGGATGCCCTCCGGGCAGAAACTGCGGGGATCCGGTCGGAGGTTGGCGCCCAAGCAGTGGAGACGGCTCTAGAGACACAAGCAGCAAGGAGCTCCACCCTTGACACTGCGGTCGCCAGGCAGGGGGACTACTCAACATGCAGCGTGCCATTGAAGATCTAGATAACAGGGGCCGCCGCTGCAATATACGGATCCGGGGGGTCCCTGAAACGGATGGCGAGGAGAACGTGGAGGAGCTCATCTCAGGCCTGTTTTACGATATCTTGCAGCAGGAGGTGCCGGCGCATTTTAAATTTGAAAGGGCACACAGGGCTCTGCGACCCTGAGCGCCAGAAGAGGGACCTAGAGATTTGATTTGCTGCCTCCACTCATACCAACTCAAGGAGGCCATCATGAACAAGGCAAGGGAGCGGCCCACGTGGCGCGCAAGGGGAGAGGGAGAATGGCAAAGTTGGGGCACAGCACAGGACATTATTTAGAGCCGGGATGACCACAAAAGAACTATACAGTAGCCATGGGACGATGATATCAAGGTGACTGTCGGGTGCTTACGGGGGGACATGTAGAGGGGTTGGGGGGGGTGGAACGTATATTCAATTTATTATTTTCCCTCCTTTTTTTTTTTTTCTCTTCTCTCCAAGAGGGTTGACAGTTAACACTTCGCCACTCACACTGAGGGAGGAGGGGGGATACTTCTGCGCCTGCACGCAGCTATACACCCGCACCACAGTTTGCTGCCGCCGCGCCCCGAGTAGCCCTTGCGGGGCCAGGCGCCAGTGAACCCTTCTTCTAGGCCTTTACTATAGGGGATCTGCACACGTTAGACGCGGGACACACTTACAGGGTGGGAGAAATATGCACAGGGTCCCGGATCATCTCTAGGTGCAGATCTTTTCCCCGGCATACACATGACGTGGTGAGTCTGGCATACCAAGCTACGGGGTGGGGGGCTGCCGGGGATGGGAAATAGCGGGCCCATGGCCCACAGGATACTTTCCACACGGGGGGTGGAGGGAGGATATAGGCGTGTGCCCGCCACTGCACTCATTGTGACGCCTGTGAGATAGGGGGAACCACGCTTCTCTCTCTCTCTATGCTATCGCTGGTGCCATCAGGACTGCACGTATAGAGGATATAGAGGATATTGGGAGGATATCCACTGATAGTTAGTGGGGCCCTCACTGTCCTGGTATGGCCGGGGTCATAGGGTGGGGGGGGAAAGGCAGGTGGGGATTTGGTAGGCTCATTACTCCCTACTCCATTGAGCCTTAGCCATCTCGGCTTACATAGCTCTATGATCTGTGGGATCCATGGGACCTTTTCTTCCTAGATACGCTTTACTTTCTTATGGTTAGGGCACCGTGGGTCAGCGCCACCAGGGGGCACATCACCTCTTGCTACACCACGGCACTCTGGGCGCACTGTATTCTGTGGGACCTCGTTGGGTATGGGGGGGGAAGGATTGCTCCTTGGGGGCCCTTGAGGGATATGGGGATTGCTTACTTCCAACTGGAGGGCGCTAGGGGTGAGCCTGACGGCTGGGTGGGGGGGGCCAGACTTGTTGTCCTTATACAAGGGCCTATTTTGTTGAGTACGTAATAGCATATTAGTTGCATAAGGAATGTTAAAGTACATGCATGTCATTAGCTCTGCTGGGCATTATGGAGACTGACTACACCATACTGACACACACCTAGACGACACGTATCTGGACAGTACGTAGGCCACATACCTTTACTCACACTCGTGCACTATCTCGCACGGTGGGATCCAGGCGGGCTGCAGTCCGATCCGGTTATCGGAGCAAGCCCATGGGTGTTGCACCGTAGCACGAGTAGCCTCTTTACGGGGCCAAGACACAACTGAGAGATTTCTTCTCACACCAGTTGTGAAGCCCTTGATCTAGGGCGCTTTCTTTCTCTCTACCTTCCTGTTCTTTCTGACCCCCTTTTGGTCCCTGCGCATCTCTCCCTCCCATCGCCCTCCCTTTTTGTCCCCGCTGCACACGGGCTTTTGGACTGAGGCTCTCGCGGTAATTACTGGGGGTGGTGGGGGGCAGGCGCTTGCAGGACCTGGTAGATGTGACGCGGACATAGCATACAAACCCGACCCTATATCTGTCCTCACTATTAACTCTAGGGGCCTTAATATACCGGAACGCAGAGCCCACTTGCTTCGCGACCTGAGGAGGAAAAATATTGCTATAGCCTTACTCCAGGAAATGCACTTTCGTGCAGACGCAATGCCGAAGCTACAGAATACCACCTATCTGAAAAACTACTTCTGCAACCATCCAACACAACGCAAAACCGGGGTGGCCATTCTCTTGGCATCGAAACTGGAATTCCAGGAGATTGACATCATGCGAGATCCTCAGGGTCGATATCTATTCCTGAAAGGATATCTGAATAAAACCTGCACGTTGGCCTCCATCTATGTACCCAATAAGGGACAGGCACCATTCCTGCGGAATATCTTGTCGAAATTACAACTCTTCGCGGAAGGGACCCTCATCCTGGGAGGTGATTTTAATGTACCTCTGGACCTGATTCTGGATTCGTCGACAGGACATAGCAGTATCCCGCAACGCAGCATACGGTCCATTCGTCGGGCGATAGGTGACATGGATCTAGTTGACTGTTGGAGGACCCTCAATCCACAGACAAAGGATTATACGTGGTATTCAGCCCTCCATAATCGATACTCCCGTATCGATTACGTCTTTATCAGGCAAATTGGTCTACCGAGATTGTGCACGGCTAGAATAGATCCGGCGACGTGGTCGGACCATGGAGCGGTTCACATCACAATGGAATCTCCGCTTTATCGCCCAGCCAAGTGGATGTGTCGACTCAATGAAGCGTTGCTGTTAGACCCGTCACTCAAAGACCAGATCTCACGGGACCTAGAGCAATATTTCCAAGACAACGGAGCTGCTGACACATCCCCGATTTCGGTCTGGGAAGCTCATAAGAGCGTGATTAGAGGCATATTTATCCGCATTGCCTCCCAAAAGAAGAAAGAAACACAGAGGGTGATGGCTGACTTATACAGCAGAATTGCAGCATTAGAAACCCAACACAAAAGATCGCAACTGCTGTCGACATACGGAGAATTAACGCAGGCCAGAAGGCAACTTAAGGAACTCCTGACGAAACGCTACCTCCGCTCTTTACAACAGTCCAGAGGCTTCTTTTATACGCATGCCAACAAGAGCGGTCGATACTTGGCCAGACTCCTGAGAGGGGACTCGCCTCGAGTTCAGGTTCGTCAACTGCACCTCTCCTCGTGTATTATCTCCACACACCCAACAGAAATTGCTGCAGAATTTCGAACGTATTATGAAAGATTATGTAACGGCACCCTCAGCATAAAAGGGTTAAACCGCCATTTAGTAGATCTTCCCTTCCAGAGACACAGGCACAGCTACTGCAGAACATCAATACGCCGAACAGGAAACCATACGAATGCTGTAAACAGCCGAATAGGAAAAACCATACGAATAGGTTTACACTCCTAGCAGTCGAACTGGAACAACATACAATAAATCCCCCCAAGAACGAGACAAAGCTCTGTGTTGAGGGTCAAGCAGTGAACAGTCAGAGCTGTGGGTTTATTGTGCTTATGTACACATTCTTACACATTAGTACCACCCACAGGGTTTTGGAACACAACCAATAAACACATACAATACACTCAGACACTCCCACACAAATTCCTCCCCTCTGCATGTGATTCAATTACCTTACACAATGGGTAATGTAATTTAGCACAAGCAAAGAAATACAATTTTTCCACATTATTCATAACTTGAAAAGTATGCATCACATTCACATAAATCAGCATACTCCAAATACAAACATACGTCAAAATCATACAAATTGGTCCAGTGGTTCAAAAGATAGATCGTAGTCCTTTGTGACCACATGAAGCATGGCTTTTCTGCCCAAAACCAGAGTCTTCTATCCTGGAGATAATTAGAAGTAATCCAATTATCTCCAAAGACAGAGGCAAAACTCCATTGAACACATGGCAGCAAAAAGACAGTAAAATACAATAAAATACACAAGGTTACATTTATGACATAAAATACAGACATGCAACATATCCCCAGATAGCTCAGATCTGGGCGCACATTATTACTGAATGGCGCTCAGAGCACACACATACAGTTCAATTGCCATGGAGCCAAAGTCTTTCCCATAGTCTTTCATTATACGAATGGGCTCCATGGCATAGCTATCTGGGGTATCACTGCTCAAACAGGGCAAGCACCAAATGACCCGGCTTTCTTGTCTTTGCAGGGAAAATCAAGCCTTTTAACATGGGGCCATAATCCAAAGGCAACAGGCGAGCAGCCAGGCTTCTCCAATGCAATGTGGCGAGATTTGTCTCGTCATAGATTATATAACCTACAACCTCAGAGTCGACACCTTATCCTCGACTGCGAGATTACCTGAGAGCTGTGGAGCTGAAGACAATATCGCCCGACGTAGCGAGCGCTCTTGATGGTCCGATTACGGAGGGGGAACTAGCGGCAACACCGAAGTCAACTAAAACAGGAAAGGCACCGGGACCTGACGGCTTCCCCGCGACTTACTATAAAACATTCACGGCGATTCTCTTACCATGGTTGTCTAAAGCTATTAATGCGATTACGGATGGTGGGCACTTGGGGACCGAGTCTTTAGCGGCGACTATAACAGTCATTCCAAAACCGGGTAAGGATCCGAGACACTGTGGTAATTACCACCCCATCTCCCTCTTGAATGTGGACACCAAATTGTTCACTAAAGTACTAGCCACCAGACTTCAAGCACCACTGCCGGGCCTAATACATATGGACCAAATGGGGTTTATACCAGGACGCAAGGCACGGGATAGCACCCTCTGGGTGTTTGCAATTCAACATCTGGCGAAGAAAACACAACAACGCCTTCTCCTACTTTCTACCGATGCCGAGAAGGCATTTGATCGGGTGCAATGGCCTTTCATGGTGGCTACGTTAGGGGAAATGGGTCTGGGGCCAACGTTCCTCACATGGGTCCAAGCCCTTTATCGCAACCCTCGGGCAGCGTTCAGAGTCAACGGGGCACTTACAGAAGATTTCCTGATAACGAACGGCACACGTCAGGGTTGTCCTCTCTCCCCCTTGCTTTTTGCCATAACTTTAGAACCCCTACTACAGATGATTCATCAAAACCAGGATGTCCAAGGATTCTGGCAGGGAACGACGCACAAGGTGGCCGCTTACGCGGACGACCTCCTCTTCTTTATCCGCAGTCCCAGAATCACGTTACCATGCTTAATGGTGGAGTTTGAAAAATTCGGCCTCTTATCGGGTTTTAAATATAACCAAATGTGAAGCACTGGATATAACGCTTCCGGAGGATGAATACAGAGCTTTGGAAACGGTATTCCCTTTTAAATGGTGTAGTATTAAAATGAAATACCTTGGAATCTGGATAACCTCCAACCCGAAAGACCTGTACTTTCATAATTACACCACCCTCCTCCACACAATCTTAGCGGATCTGTTGAAGTGGGCATACCCACACATCTCGTGGCAGGGACGGGTAGCAGTTCTCAAAATGAATGTTTTGCCTAGGCTCCTCTATCCATTCCAGATGATCCCGCTCACTGTGCCTCCATCCTTTTTCACTAAGCTGAGGTCGGCGGTCATCCGGTATGTCTGGCGTGGAGAGCGGCCGAGACTCAAACATGCAATACTGTGCCTACCCAGACATTGCGGAGGATTAGGTCTCCCAGATTTAAAAAATTATTACCAAGCTACAGTGTTACAACGAATTGTGGAATGGCACACGAACCCTGAGCACAAACAATGGATAGCTCTGAATGCCGAAGGACATGAGGCAGCTTTGCATTCGGCCGTCTGGAATAATACGACACAAATCTTGGGACTGCGACGGGAGGACACGGGACCAGTGGCTCAGACATTACGCAGCTGGAATTTACTTCGTGGGCATAGCCACATCTCACCGACCCCGAGCCCTCTACTCCCGATCACTCATAATTACCGTATGGGGGGGCTTTCGGCTGGAGCCTGGCCTTTTTCGGAAGTTCAAGGATACACCCCGATCCGCACGACACTCCAGGGTGGGGGGTTATGGTCCCTGGGCACATTACTTAACGGGAGACCCCGTACCGTATTGACGATACTCTGATACTTACAGCTGAAACGATTTTATGACACACTCCGCAACAGGGAATGGGTACACAGAGAACTCACATGGTTTGAGGATCGTTGTGAGGCGGGCACCACGATTGAACGAGCGATCTCCACGCTATATCAGCACCTTCTTATCGGTCACCTGACTGACCATGATATGTTTCGCGACCGGTGGGAGCAAGCACTAGCGAAACAATTCATGCCACACCAGTGGGACAGAGTGCTACTCTGGCATTACAAGAGCTCTACTAGTACTCGCTTTCAGGAAACAAATTATAAACTGCTCACAGCATGGCATAGAACCCCATCGCTGCTACACAGAATTTTCCCAACAACAGCTCCAATTTGTTGAAGATGTTTGCAGGAACCGGGTACCTTGATACATATTTGGTGGGGCTGTAGCAAGATCTCTTGTTACTGGGATATGATCCGATCTCTCAGCAGGGACATATTGGGAGATTCGATCGAATGGACAGTCGAATTAGCTTTGCTACATATTTCCCGATGTCAATCTCGCAATATAAGAGCTTGATCCTGAGACACCTCTTGAATGTGGCCAAAGCGCTTATTCCACTGTATTGGACAAAAACAATTACACCCTCTAAAGAGGAATGGATACGCACAGTCGAGGAGATACAGGCGGCAGAGTCGTTACAGGCATCCCTAACGTGTAGGACCACCAGGCACGCGGAAATTTGGATGCCATGGTTCGCGTACATCTCCAGGGGCATGTAGATGGGGGGTGGGAGGAGCTGGGAGGGGGGTAATGTGTAGCGGGGGGGGAGGGGGCGTGGGGCGGGCTGTTCCCACGGGGGCTTTTCTCTTTTATCCCTACCCTTCTTCCCCTGAGTTTCTCTCTCTACCTTATACCGCTCCCTTGCCTCCCAACACCCTCGAACGACTATTCTCTTGTACCACGCTAACAGTTACACCGAACTTTAATAATGACGACCCAGACTGGATGTACTATAGACGGTCGCTAGGCAAGAGAACCACACGAACTGATGTACATTCTCATACTTTATGACATGCCCCACATTATTTCACCTTTCTGGACGACATATAAGTAGCTAGAGTCACAGACATTACAGTACTTATTATTATTATAGTTCACCACATAAACGACTGAATGACCGCAACAATTGAGTTTAAAATGTTCACATAAATGCCTGCGGATGCTAACTTTTCACTATGTAGCAGGGGAAGAAAAACAATAAAAACAGAAACGAGGTTTTCTCTCTTGTAACTTTTGAGTAGGACCTGCGCGTCCACCAGGCACCTGTTGCACTTGCTTGTATCATTTGTTCTATAAACGAAATAAACGGAATAAAAGATTTAAAAAAAAAAAAAAATCTTTTAAGATGCAAACTGGCTTTAAATGTTTTACATATAAGAAAAGACCATAGATTAGCAAAAGACCTGGATTTATCTCTGCAAGTATATGGACATCTGCATACCCATGTACTCCTTGACTGATTCTTAACCCTTAAGCTGGTACACACTTAACTTAAAGGAGCTCCCCAATGTGCATCTCTTCATACAGATGATGACCAATAAAATTGAAAACTCACCTGGTATGCACCATTCCAAATCCAACCTGAACACCAATGAACACAGAGCCCTACCTGAACTAAACACTCTTACCAATGGGGTTATCAAACCATCAGATAAGGGGGGC